ACACAATACTTTGGTTCACTTTTGTCATGCTTTACAAAATTGGTTTACTTTTCTAAGAAAAAATAAAGAGTATTTGACAATCCTCGGCCGGAGAAAGAGACTTGCATGAAGTTTTTAGATCAACTATATTTTTTTGTCAATGTACGATTTTTTAGGCAGTGCAAAGCGAGATAGAAGCAAAAAGGGTCCCTCCTTTAATATTTATGTCCTAATTTCTTTAATATAATGTCCTAATTCGGTGCTTTGACTTGACAAAAATTAAAAAATAACTCGGTTAAACTTTTATCCTGAAATAATATTTTTTGGACCAAAATGAAAATAATGACGTTTTCATTTTCTCAATCTTTTTTCAAGTTTTGTAAAGAAAAATTTGTTTATCTTAAAGCTGTTTATCTTAAGTGTTTTATCTTAAAGCTGTCGAAACATAGTTTTCTTGGTTATGCCACATCAATAATTTTTTTTTTATTTTTTATTAAAACACTTAATAAATAAAATCGATGCAAAAATGGTTTTTATAGTTTCACACTTTTATAATTCAACATCAAAATTTTCGGTTTTTTGTATAATCAAAAAATATTTGTTTATGTTTGATAATATTTTGAACGTTTATCACCTATTTATACAGTTTTTAAAAGTTTTTTCAACTTTTCCGTCTGGTTTATTTCTTTTTTAAATAAAAAAATTTTTTTTAATGAAATTACGTCATTATTTTTTTTTTAAGACCTAATAATATGAAAAAAGATAATCAGCTCTATCATGAATTTCAATCGTAGAATTCTACAAATTACGAGCTTAGCTACGCCGTAGACTTTAAATGAGCACAATTTCCTTTCGTAGAGATTATGAATCAGCAATTGCAACACAATTTTTCGGAGTGTCAAAATCAATATTTTATTCCAACTGTCAAATGTTTATTTATGGGTTTTCTTGCTATTTGAATACACAACTTTTACGTTTTTTAAAAAGAGAGTTTTGCGCTTGTTTTCAGTTTTGAGTGTTTTTGAAAGGTGGGAAAAATAATTTTTCGCAAAATACTCAAACAAAAAAATTCAAAATTTAATAATTTAATACGACAATTCCCTTTAAATTGCTTATTACGGGTGATTACTTCTTTCGTAGACTTTTGATAGTAATTTTTTGCTACGAACGTTATTCATGATAGCTCCATTACGAATATTCGGAGCAGAATTTTAATAATTCGTGACTTATAATATGATTGATGATATGAGGTCTGATAATAAGTATATTAAGATACTTTTAAATAGTTTTGCTAATAATTGTAATCCACTTTCTTTTCAGTTTGTCATTTCTAGGAAAATTGTAAATATATAGTAAGACACAGTCCATTTTAAATATCGAAATACGTACCATACATATATTTTATTAAACACAAACTAACTTTGGTTGGAAAATAAAAGTCACCCCTGGTGTAATTATGTCACCCGAAATAATTTAAAACAAAACAAAAACAAATGTTTTCTTTCGAAAATTAGAAACTTAATAAATTTACGAATTATAAATTAAATAGCACATTATTATTTAAAAATTTATTTATCTTTTTATAGCATTTTTTTTAAACTTTTGTTAAAATGTTGTGTAATTGTTCACTCACAAACTACACTAGTTTAAAAAATCTGATGTGATCAGCACATAACCGACCGCATTGTGTATTGTCTAGTTAAATGAAAGTGTTACAGAATATTATAAAAATGTCTGTTAAATACTTCTTTCCAATTTTTAGGACATTAGTAAGCTTATAGTTAACATACTTAGAAAAATGTAAATTTGGCTCTTAGTAGAGTTTCGCTTTGTGCTACCCAAATTCACTGAAATGCTCGCCAGTTAGTTTCGGTAACAACCAGAACTAAAATATCAAATTTCAAGAAATTTCATCAATTTGTTCTGTGGAAAAGGTGAAAAATGTAAAATCGGCCCGCAAATCAGTTCTCGAGCCCTGATCTTTCCAAAAAAGTTATATGTTCATTGCTTTAATATGAGGAATTCATATATTAAATTTCAATGAAATCGGTTGATTATTTCTCTTTATATACACAAAAGTGTATGTTTGGCCCGTAGTAAACGTCTAGTTGCCGATGCCTGCTCTTTCCAAAAAATTTACATGTTCATTGTTTTAATACGAGGAACTGAAATATTAAATTTCAATGAAATCGGTTGATTATCTCTCTTTATATACACAAAAATGTATATTTGGCCCGTAGTAAACGCCCAGTTGCTGATACCTGATTTCTTCCAAAAGTTAGGAATTTTTGCGTATGATCGAGCAAAGCTTATATATGAAATTTCAAGTCAATCGGTTGAATACTTTCTTCAAAATGGTGAAAAATGTAAAATCGGCCCGCAAATCCGTTTTCGAGCCCTGATCTTTCCAAAAAATTTATATGTTCATTGTTTTAATACGAGGAGTTCATATATTAAATTTCAATGAAATCGGTTGATTATTTCTCTTTATATACACAAAAATGTATATTTGGCCCGTAGTAAACGCCCAGTTGCCGATGCCTGATTTCTTCCAAAACATACGAATTTTTGCGGACGGTCGAGCTGAGCTTATACATATATGAAATTTCAAGTAAATCGGTTAAATACTTTCTTCAAAATGTTCAAAAATGTAAAACAGGCCCGCTAAAAAGTGCAGTTCCCGAGGCCTGATATATACCAAAAGTTGATCGATCCGTGCCATGGTGGAAACAAACTTACATATAAAATTTCATCAAAATCGGTTCAGCCGAACTTGAGATACACGCGTGCACACACAGACCGACAGACCGACAGACGGACAGACCGACAGACCGACAGACGGACAGACCGACAGACCGACAGGTTGCTAAAAATAGTTTATTTACACTTCTCTACTATGGAGAAGTACGTTCCCACCGAAAACTCGATATGCAAAATTTGTTGCCATCACATAACCTACCTATTGTTTACACAATACGGTCGGTAAAAAAAAAAAAACACAATACTTTGGTTCACTTTTGTCATGCTTTACAAAATTGGTTTACTTTTCTAAGAAAAAATAAAGAGTATTTGACAATCCTCGGCCGGAGAAAGAGACTTGCATGAAGTTTTTAGATCAACTATATTTTTTTGTCAATGTACGATTTTTTAGGCAGTGCAAAGCGAGATAGAAGCAAAAAGGGTCCCTCCTTTAATATTTATGTCCTAATTTCTTTAATATAATGTCCTAATTCGGTGCTTTGACTTGACAAAAATTAAAAAATAACTCGGTTAAACTTTTATCCTGACTTTTGATTCCGTTCGTTTTAAATTTCGATGAAAGAAACGTAGTTGCTTTTTCGGAATTTCAATTTTTGGAAAAATATTATAGTTTTCGTAATATTAAATATTAATATTGTATTATATATAAACGCCTTTCCTCGAGGCTAATTTAAAATAACTCAAATGAAAAATAACAGTTTCAAACTTAATAATTTTTTTACATAGTCAAAGTATATGTATGTTAAAATTAATATAAGTTGGCAAAAAGTATCACTTTGCCGAACAAATTTTAAGATGTAGAGACAGAGGTCTCGCGTCGAAAAAAATCAAAAGTTTTTTGAAAAAATTAACGTTTTTTAAAAAAATTTAAGTCTTCTAAACTAAAATTTCATTTTTTTTCATTTTCCACTCGTAGGAGGAGCATAGGACTGGGACTTAATATCAAAGAACGAGATTTTAACTAGACTTTATATTAAATATTTAAGATTATTAATAGTTATTGTTTATTTTTATAACAAATTAAATTTCGTTTAAGCAGTAATTGTGAGTACAGATTGGAAGTGAAACACTAAATAACAAGAAAAAAATAAAACATTACGGAAAAAATAAGTATGTATTCATTTAAATAAGAATATGTATGTATATAAATTATAAAATATAAGAAAAAATAAGAATATATAAATTAAAAAAAATATAATACAAATTTTTAATTAAAATAGGTAAGTTCTTCATAATTTCCTTTTAAAAAATAACCCAAGGCAAATTCTTGCCGAGTATCATAAGAAAGTTTTAACAGTTCATCATGCAATATTTTACAGTAATTATAGTCAGCCGTGTCTTCTTTGTCTTTCAAAAATTGAATTTAAGCATTTGTCTGTATTTTCAATATCTTTCATTATTGCGTCTTTGTTCAAACAATTGCTTTTATACTTATAGGCTCTTAGTAATGAAGGAGTGCCTGAGCTTGACCTTGCCAATAAAGTTGCACATACATACATGCACATACATGTGTTATAATTTTAGTTACGTCATATTCAGTGTTTGATTCGTTGTTACTTTTACGTTTTTAATTTAACAACGTTTCATTGTTAATTTTACTTACCTCATATTCAATGTTTGATTCGTTGTTTCTTTCGGTTATTCCAACATCAAAAAATGTTACATCGTTATATCACAATAATTTTGGTACATATTTATCTTCCACACCTGATCCACTTTTTCTTGACTTGATGATATTTTTTTCTTTGTTATATTGTGTTTTCAATGTATTTATTTTCTTTTTTAAATCCGATATGGTGATGCCACTTTTCACATCTTGCTTTTCTTTGCAAAGTTCATGAAAACAGTTTTTTTTAGCGAGTCTGCTTAAATAACTAGGATGATTAATGTTAACGATACTTAAGTATTTTTCCATTTTGACAAAATTGATCAAAATTGAAGTTTGAATTTTATTCCAATCCATCATAAATTGTATTATCAGGTAAGGTATTAATTCTAAGCATCAAATAAAAAATATCAGATTAAATTATAATTTTGTAATTTCTCCTTTAACTCTAGCTTACCACAATATTTGAAAATAATTTATGTTACGATCTCCTCGTTTAATAACTATTTGAACTAAATTTAAGAAAACACGAAACGACATTGCTAAGTGAATTTGACGTTTTAATTTGAAACGTTATAAGAAAACATGAAACTATGGAATCGAAATAACTAAAGAAAATTTAAAATTGGTCTTCAGTTTCTATATTTTTTACAACAACAAAATACATGGGATTGCAATGAAAACTGACGTCAACACCAACCGTGTAATCTTCTCCAATATAATGCTTCTCTAGCTTCAATACACGGCTGACAAAAATACTGTATGTAATATCAAGGTAAAAATAATAGAAGGAATGTATACAATTCAATTATTTTTGACATTACAATCTCTCATAAAATTGGCTTTAAAACAAGTAATTTTGTCATGGAATCTGAATTACACATCAATCTGCATCTTTTATATATAATGATAAAACAACGAATTCATTAAAATAAATATGTATAAATATTAAAGAACAAATCGTAATTAATAGTTTTTTTTAGAAAATTTCAAAATTTTAAAAAGTTGAATTTTTTGGAAGCATATTGTAAATTTGGATATGGAGGGACCAGATGATTGGAGAATTCAGGGGAATAACCATTTTAAAGCGGGAAATTACTTAGCAGCTCTTGAAAGCTATACGAAAGCAATCAATCTTAATCCAAAGGATTGTACATTGTACAGCAATAGATCATTGGTTCATTTGAAGATGAAAAATTATTATTATTCAAATAAAGATGCAGATATGGCGATTGAACTGAATAAGACTTGGCCTAAAGCTCATTACAGAAAAGCTGAAGTGTTAACAGAAATTGGGCAGTATGAAGCCGCATTATTGAGTTATGGAAGAGCACTTGCTTTAAAACCAGATGACTACACCTTATTAGCTGCTGCGCAAAAAGCAGCGAAATTTAGTGGTGAGCAAATGCAATACGAAAAGCGTATCCCGTGGGTTGGTGCTGGAATAGGGATAATTATTGGTGTCTTAATTTCACTTTTCGATCATTTATTTACAAAAGAGCCAGCAGTTAAACATCCGGCCTTAATGGTACTTTCAGTTATGATAATTTCGATTATTGGTTATATTTTGGCTAAAACTTATTTATACTATCAAAGAGTACGTAAAAAATACTTTATGGAACCTAACGAAATTTCGGAAGACGAGATGAAAGACGAAAAAGACGTAGAATTCGAAGGACATAGTAATAGAAGTCGATATACAAAAGCTCAGGCGAGATTAAGATATAAAAAAGGAAAATTTTAATTAAATGATCCATCTCTTAAACATTTTTTTTTGCAAAATTTTGTATTAAAAAAGTTGGAAACAAAATTAACATTTGTTTTTGCTTAGTATTATTTTATTGTAGCTTTCGTATTTCGTAAATTTATTTCTGTAAGTTTTCATTTTTTCATGATACATCTTCATTTAAGAGATCAAAGAGATAGATTCACTGAAAAAAAGATACATGATATTGAAGAAGCAAAAGAAATGAAATAAAATAGTGAGGATTACAAAATACAATCATTTTTGTTTCATTTTCTTTTGGACCAATAAAAATAAATTTTTTTGAAGTAAAATGCTGATTTATATCTGTATTTGTTCACTTTGAGTTTCTTCACTTTACATTTAAGAAATTCCCGATAAAAATTTCTGGTTAAAGAATTTGAAAAAATTTGCATTCAAAAAGTTGCCTCCGGTGTTAGTTTTTGCATAATTACATATATGTTGATATGTCCTTTTCAAATACATAAGTACTTTTTCAATTAAATATAGAAGTTAAAAGAGGATAAGAATTATAGGTTTACATTTTCAACATTTTTGAAATATGTAGTGCACTTTCTTCTGATATGTAGTGCAAAGTTTCATATATTTTTAGTTATAATAGGTTTGTCTTGGATAAAAAAGTTTTTGCATACAGTCTGGGATAATACCTTTTGAACAGAAATGAGAAAAAATGATGACATTAAGTATATAATGCAAAAAGTAAAAACAATTTGCAATATTTAAAAATTCATTAACAAAAGTTTGATTAGCGAAATTATATACATATACCTTTTTCTGTAGTCAAGTTAATCAATTAGTCAGTATAGTGTCAAATACCCAAACTTAGCGAAATTCGTCGACGTTAACAGATGAAATATGTTTGTTTAGAATTTTTTCAATAAACGATAGTATTGCAATTTTGACATTTTAATTGAAGTCGAACGAGTATATTGTTAAAACTTGAAAAATTTAAACAAAGATACCACAATTTAACGCATTGTAGTGCGTTTGCTGAAAAGGTATTTTCTTTTAATTTGATTAAAACTAAATTGAGAAATTCCTCTTATGTTGAAATGGTAAGCAACATTTTAAATTCAAAAGAACTATGTAAAAATATTGATGCGAAAATGTGATCTTATTTATACTTATTTATTTTTAAGCGTACTTTAACTTCCATTTAAAGTAACCATTTTAGTCTACGTATAACGAAATGAATAAAGTGGTAAACATATGATAAGCAAAAAACATCATAATAATATTTATGATTTTTTTTTCATTTGGTCATAATTCTTGTTAAAAGTTTTTGTTTGGTTTTTTTTTACCGACTGCATTGTGTATACAATAAGAAAGGTTATGTGATGTGGCAACAAATTTTAAATGTCGGGTGGGAACGCACTTCTTTATGGCAAGGAAGTGTAAATAAACTATTTTTAGCAATCTGTCGGTCTGTCAGTCTGTTAGTCTGTGTGTGCACATGTAGATCTGAAGTTTGATCGAACCAGTTTTGATCAACTTGTGGTATATATAAGGCTTCGGAAACGCGACTTTTTAACAGATATGTTTCACATTTTTGTTCATTTTAAAAAAAATATTCAACAGATAACTTTTGGAAAAAATCAAGTGGCAGAAACTGGACGTTTACTGCGGGCCAAATCACCATTTTTGCGTATATAAAATAATCAACCGATTTTATTGAATTTTAATATTTAAATTCGAATTGTTAAAACAATGAACCTGTATATTATTTTTGGAAAGATCAGGAGTCGCAAACAGATCTGGGGGCCGATTTCACATTATTAACTATATCAACATATGATGGAATTTCTTGAAATTTAATATTTGAGTTCTGGTTGTTACCAGAAGTTTCTTACGAACTTTTCGTGTAATTCGGACGGCACAAAATGAAACTCTTCTAAGAATCAAATTCAAATTTTTCTAGGTATGTTAACTAAAGCTTATTAGTGTCATTAAAATTGTAAAGAAATGTTGAAAAAACATTTTCATAATTCTGGAATACTTGTACTAATCTAAACAATATACATTGCAGTCGGTTATATGCTGATCACATCAGATTTGTTTGTATTCGTACGGTAATAAATTGTTTTTTATGAAATAAAGGAATTGGCTCCATTTTTTTAAAAAAGGGTCTCTCTTTTGAATATTTCTGCTCCTCATCGAAAAAATCAAACGACAGCCGCGCTTGATCTACAAAAGGTTCCCCCATTATACATGCATATGTGTGCGTTTACTTTTACCATGGGTTGTATGTTGTAGAAAAGTGCATTTTTAATATTCCATGTGGGCTACTATGTAGTGCTACTTTCGCTAAATAATTTTGTCACCTTTAAAATTTTGACATAATCTAAACCGTATATAAAAGTAGCAAAAGTGATACTACGGAATGCTGCTTTCGCATACTCTTCATTCATTTGCAATTTTATTTATTGAGAAGTCTAAGTTTTTGAAAAAATAAAACTTAACAAAACTAAAAAAAGAATAAAACTAAATAAAACTAAAGTTTCGCATTTTTACATAGTAGGGCCTTTTTCGATAATTTAGTTTTAACTCAATTCTGAATGTAAAGAACGTTCGATAAATTGAAAATTACAGAATTTGTAAAAATATCTCGATCGATGTTTTTGTACAAAAAAAAGGCCTTTCGAAAATAGAATTAAACTTTAAGTTCTAAGGCAACTGCAAATATATTTTTTCACTACGGCATTAAAAAGTTTACACATTTACGCTAATGTCTTTGTATCTAAGTCCCAATGCTAAAATATCAATAAGGTTTTTTGTAAATTGAAAGGGCTACATTTTAGGAAAAAAGAGCAAAATTAATTCATACTTATTATAAAGTAGATAAAATTTCGAAAATATATCTAAAAAATCAATTAAATATAATATTTTTATTCACAATTTAAAAATTCTTAAAATACATGCAAAAAACCGGAAAATCTATAAGCAACATCCTCCTGCAACATTTTATATAAAGATGGGAACTATCGAAGAATTCGAATTGCTACAAAAAATTTATTCAGATAATTATTTAGATATTCAAATGGGTAAAATTGAATTTGTTCGATAGTGCTTTTTTTATCAAAAATTTTCGTTTTCCTTTAAAAAAAAAGATTTTTTTATTAAATATTTTTGGTTTTCTTGTACAAAACAACCTGACAATATAATCAATATGTAAACATAATAAAGAAATAAAAGTTGCCAACTCAAATTGGTAATATTTTCGCGAACTAAATGCAAATGAAAGTAAAACACCTTTATAAAAGGAACTTCACACTAACAGTTTTTTTCATTTGCTTGCTTAAACTACGAGCTCACCTTAATACCTAAAAAACGCGTACCACGTATACTTACTTTTTACACTTTAATACGTTGATATTCTGACAAGGTTTGTCGTTTGATTTTTTGAACGGGGAGCAGAATATTCAAGAAGGGGAGCCATTTTCAAAAACGTGGAGCTAATTCCTATATTTCATAAAAAAAAACAATTTACAATACTTTAAATTTTCTTACCGTTAGTTCAATAAGATCACAATTAGGTTCCTAGCTTTTTGCATCAATAATTACAATTTCAACATAAGAGGAGTTTTTCAATTTGGTTTTAATCAAATTAACAGAAAAAAAATACCCCTTCAGCAGTCGCACTAGAGTGCGCTAATCTGAGGGAGCTTTCAAGCATTGAATTTTTCAAATTTTGAACAATATACTCGATCTTCTTCAATTAAAACGTCAAAATTGCAATATTTTGGTCTATTGAAAAAATTCTATGCAAACATATTTCATCTGCTGACTTCAACGAATTTTCTTAAGTTTGGTTATTTTACACTTTAATTGACTAATTGATTAACGTGACTAAAAAAAGATAGGTGTTGGCGTCTAAATTAGCAGAAAAAGGTATATGTACATAATTTCGTTAACCATGGTTTTGTCAACAAATTTTTAAATATTCCAAGAAAGGTTTCAAATGAAAAAGTCTTTCAAGATAATTATCAATATTGCTTTCAAGTCTGCGTGAGGAAAAAACAAAATCGGAGCCAAAATACAAAATGAGAAGCCGGGGAGCCAAATTTTCAATTCGGAGCCAAACGACAACCCTAATTCTGACGTATACTCAAAAGAAATAACATTTTCTACCATATTTTGTTACACTGCATTTTTAACATTAGATGCTTTTTTGTGACTTTATGCTGCTAAAAAATACAAGTTGTTTTTATTACTGATGAAGAATCTCAAAAGACCAATTGAAAAAGTAGTCATAAAATCTAGCTACATTATTATCATAAATCAGCTACAGAATATATATGTATGTATTAAATACGGAATCAGAACTATTGCTAATTCTTTAATTTTTTTAACAACTTCAGATAAGGTTGTAAGTATGTTTGTTATGTTATGTGGGCTACAAAACTTTTAAACGATTTTTAAGTTTTTAAATTTGAAAAATTGAACGTACAGTACGTTACCATTTCCATTTAAATATGTGTTCGGTTGAGCATTGAAGCAAAAAGTGAAAACGTATACTTAGTGCAAATCGTTCTCCTTGAAATTTATTACTTGTTCAAAATTTTTTTTAAAAATCAAGTGTGGTTATTTTAAATTTAATAAGTAAACGCAAAATATAGCTTAGTTTATCTTAATACAATTTGCGCAATATACCCATTATGTCTGGTATGTATTATCTTACTTACCCTATGAGAAAAAAAAGCTGTTCACTTAAAAATAATGAAATGCTTTCAGTAACATATAAAACGTTGAAGGCGATGGTTGTGCTTGTTGTTTTTCCGCTTTTTTTTAAATTTTAAAAAATTTATCAATGAAAATATTAATATATTTTTTTGATTTTTCAAATATATTTTCTAAATTTTACCTGCTTTATGATAAGTGTGAATTTATTTTAATATTTCTTCTCAAAAAATAGCCACTTCGATTTAAAAAAACCCATATAAAATAAGGTCGTGCTTTCAAGTTTCTCTCTGAGCATTGGGACTTGTTAGATATAAAGACATTATTATTAGTGAAAAGCTTTTTTCTCTTGGGGTGAGTTAACTCAATACA